AACTGCCAGGAGCCCTAAAAGGAGCAAGAATGCTGTGTGTATGATTGCAACCAGACATTTGCAAAAGATTTCCGATCACACGGTCTGCCCTATCCCAGGGCCCCTGCAGACAAGAAATTAAAAGACGCTTGCTCCTGGGGAGGAAAGCTATGGCAAATCTAGACAGCATACTAAAAAGCAGAGATCCCACCCTGCCAACAAAATTGCGTATAGTCAAGGCTATGGTTTTCCCAGTTGCAATGTATGGCTGTGAAAGCTGGACCATAAGGAAGGCTGAGCACCGAAGAATTGAGGCCTTTCGAAGAATTGAGGCCTTTGAATTGTGGTGCCGGTGGAGACTCCTGCGAGTCCCTTGGACCGCACGGTGGTCAAACCGGTCAGTCCTAGAGGAGATCAACCCTGGCTGCTCTTTAGAAGGCCAGATACTGAAGATGAAGCTCAAATACTTTGACCACCTCATGAGAAGGAAGGACTCACTGGAGAAGAGCCTAATGCTGGGAACAATAGAGGGCAAAAGAAGAAGGGGACGGCAGAGGATGAGGGGGCTGGATGGAGTCACTGAAGCAGTTGGTGTGAGCTTGGGTGGACTCCGGGGGATGGTGGAGGACAGGAAGGCCTGGAGGAATGTGGTCCATGGGGTCGCGAGGGGTCAGACACGACTTCGCGACTAACAACATCAACAACAACAAATCCCAGGGCCCCAAGATGAGATCAGAGATCAAGAACAGACCCTTGCGTCCGCTCTGTCCCCCAACCTTTTCGTCCATGCATGCAGGCAGGACTCTAGATGGCACTGCTGGCCCCTGGTTTGGAGGGCCCCTGAGAAAACCACCTCCCTGGGCCCCTCCCTTGTCACCAACTGCTCTCGGTCCTCCTTGTCTTCATGCCAGCCACTTGCTTCAGGACTGTCGGGAGCCAGGGAGCCAGGAGACTTCCCCATGCCCCCTTCTCCCACCACCCTCGTACGGGCCACAGCAAGAAGCAGCTGAAGACGGCAGTTGCAGTGGGGACGAGGAAGGGCACGTCAAGGGCACTCCTGGCTGTGAGTCCCTCCTGGGGCGTGACCCCCCTAGAGGAGGCCCGACCAGGAAATTCTTGACACTGCCCCCACTGAGAGGAGCTCCCGGTCATTATTACCTTGCTCTGACAAGACTGGAATTCTGGAATTTTCCAAACTGGCCCTAGCCTTGAGCCCAAGAATCCAATTCCATCGCTGGCACAGGCCAGGATCGATTGCATTCGCTTACACACTTCAGTTTTAGTCAGATGAATAGGTTTGACAGATTTCTTATTTAAGGAGAAGGGAAACATTTTAAAATGGTTTTTATGGTGTGCTGGTTCCTCTCCACCCCATCCCCCCCACAGAGGATGGGAAATCAATGTTGCTACGGTCTGCAGAAAGGGGCGATAGATTATCTGTAGCCTTGTGACAGTTCTTGGCGTGCATCATTTTGCAAATCAATTATGCAGTTTGTGATTCTGCAATAAGAGATTCTGATGGCTTGTGAGCCAAGCTCCTGGCAGGAGGCGGGGCAAACATTTGGACCATGCAGCAAGGAAGCGGAAGCAGCAGCGTGCTGGAAGCTGTTGCAACCCCCATGCTATGCAACAGAGGTACAAGTAGGTACACCTGGACAAAATTTGCCCCAAAACATGGGCAGAATGACCTGGTTTGCACATCACAGAGACGTGATCGGACACATTGGTGAGAATCTGGTGGAGCCCCTTGCATTGTCTCTCCTCCTCAGAGCTCAGGGCCAAGGTATGGCACCTCAGGTAGCCCTCAACACACCAGGTTTACAGGACGGAAGCCTTGTGCTGCGCCCTGGTGGTGAGATCTGCAGTTTCTAACTTTGTGCTTCTCTTGGATTCCATGGGGTTCCTGCGTGTGTGTGGGGAGGATGTGGCACCAGGCAAGCCCAGGCGTGTGGCGGGAGCGCATGTCCAAATCCCTGGATTCCCTGGGGTGCCTTAGTGGGGTTTCTTTTGCAGTGGTTGGCTCGGAATCACAATACGGGGAAGCCCATCCTCCTTCCAAAGGGCTCCCTTTGGGCTTTGCAATCTGGCAGAGAAGTTTCGGCTGCCGGGCATATAGAAAGTAAAGAAAGACAAAGGGAAGATGTGGAGGGGGGCACATTTTCTGGAGACGTTGTCCATCACCAATCCTGCCACCCACCCCACTTACAAACCGAGCCGCACTCCTGAATGCACTTGGCTGCCTGGAAGAGCGAGCCCAGTCATTTCCCATTAGCAATCCTGAGGAGCAGTTCTGCTGACCAACAAATTTGCACTCCAAAGTCCTCAGAGAAAAACCGTTCCAACCCCAACGGCTGCCAGGTGCCTGGGAGATAATGAGATGGCTGGTTACCCGGTGCTGCTAATTGTGTGTGGCTCAGCTGGGGACATTATGATTACATCCCCGCTGTCCCAGGCTCCTTAGGAGAAGGATGCTGAAGGTCAAGAGCTGCCAAAGGACCTGTCATTCCTCATCTCCAGAGCTCATCCAAATTTGGCACTGTTTCCGTGGGCAAAATATCTGGAAGTGTCCCGCAGAGAGCATTTTGCTTGTGCGTGGCAGGGTTTTGCTAAGAGAATGTTGAGGAGTGCTCTTTGCTGCACTGTATCCCACCTGACCGTTTCCTTTGCATGAAGCATCTTTCTGTGGTCAGTCAGGCTGAAGATAAACTCCACACCCAAAAGCAGACAGAGACCTCCCCTGTCCAAAGTTATACTCCACTGCAGCCTTCACCAACCTGCATGCATTAGACTCCAATGCCCATAAGTTTATGGAAGTTGTAGTCCAGCACATCTGAAAGGCACCAGGACAGGATAGGCTGTTAAATTCATTGCGTCTCCCTTGTGTCAAGTAACAGTTGTTCCAATTGGCCTCAGCTAGGGAAGCCTAATTCTGTTAATTCCGTTCCATGTTCCAGGCATCTTTCATTCTGTTGTGTTTTTGTTGACAGATCTCATTTTTACAACCTGAATGTTATGCATCCCTCACCAAAACCAGCTCTGGGAACCTTCTGCCCCATTCTCTCACTAAGCAGAAGACTGATTTGACTGGGGAGGAATTAGTTCTCGCCCCAAAGAGAAACGGAGTAGACGCCTCAGTGTGTTTTGACTACTCAACAACCAAGACTTCTCAGTTTATTTATGTTAGTTTTAATTTCTGGACTGAGAAGCAGAAATCCGAGATATCGCTAGGGCCATGTGGTTACGTTTGATTCGCCCTTTTTCTCAAGGGTGACCTTTAACTCTTTAATGAGAGCACGGGGGATGTCACAAAGTGAGCTTATGCGGCAGGATACACCACATCTATTTCAGAGATCAAACATTTTCGGGATCAGGAAATCCTTTCAACAGAAAGTCAATTGAAATGCAACAAAATATTGCAACACCAAAAGGCCCAAGTATGACCAATCTTGGCTGAGATAATTCTGGTGCACATTTCCTACGTTTGTTAGAATGTCATTCTCTGATGTACTTTTTTTGCTTCTATTGAAGAGGCCAATTAAAACCCATCCTCCTCAGCCAGGAGATGAGTGTACGCTGCTGCATGCATATCCTGCTCCTTTCCAGGGTTGTTCATAAACCAGGACACCACCTCCACTTGCATCAGTGGTCACTCCCGCAGGTGCCAAGTTGGAGCAAGGTGGCCTATAGGACACCAGCCCTTGTTCTCATGCCAAAATCCTCCATGACAGCATTTCAGGCAGAGTAAAGCCCTGCATATCCTAAGCCATGCTGGATTTGCACTAGCCAAACAGGAAGGTGGGCTGGGAGGTTTTATTTCCTTCCAGGCCGGCTTTTGTTGGCATCTCCCTCTCTTTTCTTCACTTTTCTTCCCTGTGGCTTCAATGGGTGGGAAATAATGCTGGTTGTAGGGCTGGCATCATTGCTTTTTTTAAATTCCAGGGTGCATTGAGGCTTCTGAAGCTCTCCAACGGGGGGCTTCACCTTGACCACCAGCAGGGCACCACTGGAAGTGCAGCAGCAGTGGTGAAACCTCCATGGTGATGGAACCTCTGAGAGACCTTCAGGTTGGGCTGTTTTCCCTCCCACAAAGGGCTTCAGTATCCTATGACCTTGGAGATGGCCTCCCAAGGACCATGGGGCTGCAACCGAGCTGCTCCATTTGAATTTAAGCTTCAAAAGTGAAACATCTAGCATGTTGACGAGACAGGATGTGGTCCAAATATAATGCCCATGTACTCTCAGGACAGACCTCAAGGCTACTGAACTTCTTGTATCCCAGTAACTGAACTGAAATCTAATAACCATTTGCCATAAGCAACCAATGACCTCAATGGTGAATATTTTGTTTGCTTCACATGTGGAAATTAAGACAAGGTACTGAATTTGCTGGCCCAAGCATCCCCAGTGTCCATTTTTGTTAGATGTAGGAAATGGGAAAATTGGTAGCCTACAGGACGTGGGAAGTTACTGCATGCCAAATCAGACCATCTAGCCCAGTATCATCTGCACTGACTGGCAGCAGCTCTCTGGGACTGTGAACCAGAGTCTCCTACCAGCCTGACCTGGAGACACCTGGGATTAAACCAAAGCAAGAGTGAGCTGTGAACAGAACCTAAGCACAGGTGTGAGGATGGGCATGGCTTTCTCTGATAAAGGGCCAAGGGTTACACACTCTGTCCAGTTTTCTTGTCTTTCTCCCTGTATTCCTTACCAGTTCAATCCGTGTTCAAAAATCTTATCACCTAAGTGCTGGAAGGTGAGTAAATAAGACATAGCAGCTGCAAATAAACTTAATTTAAATAATTTATTCCAGACACCAAATTTGGTGGGTCTGAAGGGAAGTGGTATAGTATATACACACCCTGGCAATGGCCAAGACTACCGCTAACTGTTCTGTCCTCTTCTTATCCTGTATCACCCCACTACCCCCAAAAAGTTTGCATCCACACATCCTGTAAAAGCAAAGTGCACTGTATATGCTATTGCTACATAACCTATTTTGGCAGCCAATGTTTTGCAAGTCAAGCAAAATCTTTAGAAACGGCCTCCACAAAATTGGGTGCTGACATTAAAATGCCAATTGTACAAATTATTGTGAAGACTGAAAAAGCCATCAAGCAGAGACGGTCCACCACAGACGCCGCGAACTTCCATTCATTGCAAATGGCGTCCGCCTCATCTTGGTCTCTGAACCGATTGGCAATGTACCGGACCTCCTCCAGGATTTTGGCCAGATCTTGGTCTGTTTCAGAAGGGTGTCCACTGTGAAGAAGGTTGTCGTCGTCTGTCGGGGAGCAAGTCATCCTGCCACAGATCACACCCGAATCAGTGGTGGGCGTGCAGTGAACACCTTCCAGTCCTCTGAATCCAATGTAGAGCATATTTCCATTGCTGGACTGTTGCCCACTAACAGTGTTAATCTCAACACTTGACATGCTGCATCGGCGCTGCTTGTGTTGGCAGGCTGGGCGGACTTTATCCTCCCCCGGCCTTTTCATCCTGAGGAACCAGGCACACCAGTTGAGAAGGATAATTCTGGTCTGGGAAACAGGAATAAACACTGCCTTTACTTGCAGCACGGATGGTGTTCGTTCTCTCGCATGTGACTGGAACATTCATCCTCGGCTAGTTTGCAAGGACCAGGGTTGGATCCCGACTTAGAGTAGACCAACGGAAATGAACAGGACTTGTGTTTGTGATGACCTGCATGCCCTGCACTTCAGCTTTAACCACGGCTAAGTCTGGATGCAACTCCAAAACCCTATGCAAGCATGGTGCTCGGCTGAAATGCTTAGTTGGGGTGAAGGTACGACTGCAAGCAGCATGACCAAGGAGCAGCCATTTAGGGAAGGGCTGGGGCTCAGGGGAAGAGCATCAGTTTCTGTGTGCCTCAGCGCCTTCAGTTTGAGGGGTCAGGTGGCAAGTGATGGGGAAACCAGGTGCAAGTCAGAGCAGATGGGACTGGGAAACATGGACACACAGTCTAGGCAAGGACACAGGACTTCCCTTCCACCATTCTCTTTCAGTGCTGTTTTTGCAGAAGGTGTGCACCAGGGGACTCTTGAACTAAACCTGGTTACGTGTGGGTGAATCTGCTCCATCGGCTTGGATTGCCGCATATTCATGCTTGACAGCTCCTTCCAGTTGGCTTCTGGGAACACTGATCATTTTGGAGCTGCAAATTGAATGGCTGCTGGCCATCTTTACCATTTGCCACGTATCAGACACACTGCAATAACAAGCAAAACTTTTTCTCTTCTGCTCCAAGCTACTGAGTCGTGCATGGTTGTTTGAAATGAATTCCCAGGCTTTATGGCTGCCCCGGCTTCCCCATCGCCAGCTTTCCTAGATTGAAATCATGTTTTCAATCAAATGGAGCACATTATTTACAGTGATTTTCAGTTTCACATTTCTTAATGAGAGTCTGTCCAAAGTCTCTCCATGGAGCTGAGCCATAATGGTTTTCGCCTAATGCAAAAGTCTTATGGCATCTCCACAGCCAATTTTGGAAGATCCCCCGTTTATCTGCTACAGTTATTCCGTGCAAGATGTTACCTTATAATGAGCTAGGTCAATAATCCATCTTGCCTCAAGTCTGACTGACAATACTTTACTAGGTTCTTAAGCAGAAGAGCTGATATGCAATAGCTGATCAGGATGGAGGCCAACATTTTGTAAATCACAGCCTAATGTATTGCTTGCTTGCTTTCTTGGCCTCTGCCCTATGCCCAAATAACTGGGACTAAACATTAACCTCAGTGGTGCTTGCTTCTGATTAGGCATATTGAGAATTCCATTGTAAAACACACACATCTCTTCACATGCAAATATATGCATTATTTCCTGGATTATAAGTGCTGTGCTTAGTGCATTGTTTAACAGTGTGATACTTGACCTTTCAGTTCCAAAATTGGCTCCCACAGGCTGGAGACAGGAGGACGGTGGTCACTACTAAGATATGGCTAGAAGTAAAGCTGGTGATCCATCAAAGCAGCCCTTCCATTCGACTGTGGGCCCTGCGTGGATATCATAATCCAGGTTTCAGGTTCTTCCCTCCAGTGGGAGGTGACGGAAGAAGCTCCATGTAGGCTTTTTGCCATCTGGTTCTTGCTAAAAATGGCAGTCAGCCGTGCCCAAATTAAATTTTCAGGTGCAAACCCATTCCTCCCAAACACACATTGTGTGAAATGACTCAAGAGATAAAATAACTGATGAAGAGGTCCAGTTTTTAGAGACAAAAATGCCATCCTCCAAAATCCCCCTGCCTCCCATTTCTCTGTGGGAAAGTCACCCTGATCCCAGTACAAAGCTTCATGGACATTGTACAGGCACTCCAAGGAGCTGCCCTGCTGGAAGTCTCAGTTGTGCTGATGCACCTCATTTCCATGCCATCAGATCATGCCAAGGACTGACTTTTGAGAGCTTGTGCTGCTGCACTGCATGAAAGAGGGCAGTCCCGGGGGACTCTGCATGAATTCGTCAGCCTTTGAGAAGCGCTCACTCTGCATGCTACAGGAACACCAAAGGAAGGGACTGTGGGCTCATTACTAGATCTTAGGACTGGATTTCAGGTGGATTTAAATGCTATCAGGAAAACTTCTTTGACAGGAAAACATCTTTAAAAATAAAAGATGGTGTCCATCTATCAGTGTCACAGTGCTTAGTCCCTAGAGTTTTGATTATTACATGCATTAATTAATTTTAATGCATCAAAATATGTCCATGGGGTTGAAGCCTGCAGTAACACCTTCAGCCATCGGAGGCAGACTTCCTTATTTAGCATAGAGCATTGCAGTACCCAGAGTTGGAAGCCAGAGCAAGATGCATGATATGTCTGCCCAAGAGGCAGGTGCCCCCACTGCATGGGGAATTGAGTGGGGGGGATCCCTCAGGGAGCCCTGGGAGGGGGCATCCTTAGCAATGCCAGTAGGTGTGACTTGGCTTCACTGAGACATGGCAGGCATAAGATGTCCAACTCGGACTGTCATGCAAGTTTGCTGGATGTCTTTGTCGTATTAAACTCAGGGCTACCCAGCCCATGTAGCTCAACTCAGATTTTGATAAATTGCATATGCATTGGAGTTTAATACGTTGCATCTACCGCACTTAAGGTTGGTTCATCTGTGTGTGTGAGAGAGAGAGAGAGCAATTGCAATACCTGTGCCCCAGTAAGTTTCTTTGTCTGCCTTGTTGAACTTCTACTTGGGGAAGAAAAAGGTGGCCAGCTGCTCCAGCGGCTGATTTCTGATTGGAGAGTTTACCCACAGAGAAAACACATATCAAATTGGCTCTTACCCACTTGGGCATTTTTCCCCCATCCGGATCATGATGGTGATATTGCAGGACAATGACAGTGACGACGACAGAAAGACCGACAATAATCATGGTGCTTGCGAAATATTGAGCTGCAAAAGATAACAAAGAGGGTGAGAATTTTTCAAAAGCAGGCTAATGTTCCAAATATCTTCTGTCTGCATTTCAGACGGAAGCTAGGGCTATGGTGATGCTATATGCTTCACAGAGAGTGTTATACAAGGACACCAGAATTCTTTCAACCGCACCTCACTCGGTTCCCATTCTCAGTGGCAATTGCCGCTTTGCTTCAAGAATAGAAAAATTGCGTAAATTGAATGACAATTGACAATTGTGAGACTGGCACAAACCACCTGAACTCACGTAGATTCCCCAATGTGTGCAGATTTCCTCCATAGACTAAAAGGATCTGTCTTATGGCACAGACTTCCTATTCCATATTATGGTAGCCCCGCAGCTAGTTTGAAAATGAATTTCCTATTGAAACTAATCATTGTAGACACTTACCTATTAGCGGCACTGAATCCGATGTCGCTGGCATAATTTCTGCTACCAGAAGCATAAAAACAGTGAGGGACAATAAAACTGTTATCCCTGCAAGGCAAAATATGGAGTTTGGAATCAGAACAAAAAGGAGTTTTTGGTGCTGAGACAAAGAACATGAGAAATGTCAAAAGAAGCGTGTTTCTAGTAAGGTGATTTTCCTTTGAAGGGCGGAGAACAGCTCTCCACTACTTAGTAACCTCCATGCCTCAGTCATGAATGCTGGGGATTGTTCGTCAACAAATCAAGAAGACGTCAGATTAGAGAAAGCCAATGTGGACAACTTGCAACGTGTCCAGAGGAGGGTGAGAACCTGGAAAATGAGTCCTGTGAGGAAAGTTTGAAGGAACTGGAGAAAAGAAGACTGAGAGGGTACATGGGGGCGGGTTTAGGAGATCTGAGGGATTGCACCGGCTTGTTCTCCTCTGCTCCTGAAGGTAGGACTAGATCTAACGGTTTGAAATTGCCAGTTGGTAAAGTGTGAATGAGCATTAGGAGAAAACCTTGATGAAAGTTCCATTCAACAAAGGAATGAATTGACTAAAGGAGCTCCAACTTTGACTTTGTTGGAGTTTGAGAAAGGGAGCGGGCCAAGAGGGCAGAGCAAGGGAGAAATCAGCCACTGCAGTCGCTCTTTTCTGCCTTGTGTTCCCTTGAGAGAGCTTGTTGCCATTTATATTTTTATTAATGTCTTAATGCACACAAAGGGATTACATGGTGTGTTTAGTACTGTGTGTACACATCTGATAAATAATAATTGACGTTATGTCACCAGTATTGATTTTGCCTCTTCTGTAACTAATCTGAAATGTTACCATGCATATAAAATATATTTGCGAAATAAACTGTTTGGGTTGTTCCCGAGTGTAAGGAGGTGCTTGTTGTAACTGATGTCTTCGTGCCCTTTTTGCTTGCTGAGAGTTGCTCTGAGAGTTCCTGCTGTTGGGTGGTCCTTAAAGGTAATGAATGGAATGAGTGAAAATGGTGTCTTGAAAAATACTTGACATATATGGGGCATGATCCCCACACCTGTTGAAGGAATGGGGATGGGAGTCATGGCTTACACAGTTGCTTCCTCTGCACCACCACATCTGCCCATTTGCACGTGCTGTGTGCATGCACCCATGGAGATCTTCTTGCTTGGTAGACAACCCAAGCGGTGCACCCGTTGCCAAGCGAAGCATGAGTGAAATACCAGGAGCAGCATAAACAGAGGAGCACAGAAAGCTGCCTGTTCCTTGGTCCACCTAGCCCACATGGGCAACACAGACTTGCAGATTGTAACATACAGTCTGGACTTTTCTGCTCTCCTTACTTGTGTGCTTTTCTAAGAGCACAATAAGCTCTTGGCCTCTAGAATGAATAGCACAGCCAGGACAAGAGGATTCGCTGAGCAGAAAAGGGTCATGCTAACCATCTAAGACACCACTGTGAATGCACTCAATTCTCCTTCCATTAGAACTGCCTTCCTCAGCCCTCTGCACAAATACGCTGCGATTTCTTAAGAGTTCCAACGGGTATCTACTTCCCCTCGCTTAAAAAAAATACTGTACCTACTACCTGGGCATGCATGCATTGCAAATTATTCTTGCTTTGAAACACACAAGGGAACATGTCTACCAAGTGAGATTTTCTCTCCGGAGTCTGCTGGAAGCAGGAAAACAAGGAGGGCAAGAGCCGAGATGAGTACACATGGGATAAGAAGGTTGAGGCCATAGTACAGAGTCCTCCGCCGCATGGTCACAGTAAAGGTCACATCGGGGTAAGGCTCTTTGCAACAGTCATAAAAAGATTCGGTCCTCCTTCCAGGGACTCCTGCAGAGAAAGAGCAAGATGAGGTTGTAGGGGAGTGAATCCGGTACAGATGGGTCGCGCTTTTAAGCTGCCCAGTATCCCAAGTTCTCCCAACAATGTGCAGGCCATTAAAAGCATCAAACACAAATAGGAAAACACTGAATAAAAGCAGCGCATATTAAAACCAAGACTGATCTTCCAGCAAAAATGACAACAATGCACCGTGTGAATGCCAGGAGAGAATTGCTGGGAAGGGTCTCTTACTGGTGCGCTTCTGGCAATGAAAATATGCCCTCCTTTGTAGTTAATCAACCCATCTCATTTGATGGGGCACCTGAAGGAGGGTCTGATTGCTGTCCACATCAGTAAATACCCAAAGAGAGTCCTTGGCTAACCTGATCCCAAGCAATTTAGGGTTTTAAAGGGCAACCCACTGGATTCACCCATCACCCATCATTGCTGGTAGTGCACTCCCAGGCACAGGGACCGAAGGGTGAAACCAAATTCCATGCTACTGCTGACGGCCAGTGGGTTTGTGCAACCACAGCTCCCATTACCAGGAGTGCATGCCCAACTTGGCTTTTTGCAGCGCTGGAGAGGGGATTTTCCACTATTTTTTCTTCCCACCACCCTTTCTTTGCTTTAATTTGCGGAGTTCGCAAGCTGCTCGGTGCTGCAAAGAACACAGCTCTGCTCCCGGGACCCCCAGTGCAGGGTCTGTGCAGGGTCTGTGCAGGGCATTTCAGGCGAAGCAATGCAGCCAGTCCTCCAACCGGTGGCCCCATCGGTCACACTCAGGACAACAGAGTAGAAACCCTAGAATTAGCCATTGGCAGCTCTTAATCGTTCAGTTCCCCTAGGTATGCCTGCAAGTTTCCAATCTTCCATAGATACCTTGGGACTTCAAGATAGAATTCCCAGCACCTTCTGTGAAAGGTGAAACACAATTCCCAGGATTCTCTGGGGGTAGTCCCGGCAGCCAAATTACATAAACCCCAAATAATAGTGCCGTGCAGATAGGCTTGTTAAATTGTTTAGCCTCTTTGAAAGACTTGAATAATGCAAGGACTCGATTCATATGCATGCTTATGAGAATTAAAAGTTGATAATGCAAGCAATGTAAAAAAGCTTTAGCTGAGATTTGGTTAATCCTATAGGTGCTGTAGAGAAGAAAGAACCGTTTGTACGTCTCAATTCCTGAGACATTTCTACAAATCTCAGCCTGAGGCCCTTTTAATGAGTTCCACATGTTCTGCGGCTTTTCTTCTGCCAGAGTTTTCTTATTTCTTTCTCTCTTCATTGTAAAACAAGAAGGGGAGTTTCCCTGCCTTCCACCTATCTAGTTCAACCTTGTTGGTTGAATTGATGGGCAGGTTTGCCCTGAAATAGGCAGATGCCACTTGCTACTTCTATAGGTGTGATAGATAACTGAGGATGTGTGAAGCCATCTTAACGTTAGGCTGGAAGTTCAAAATGTCGGCATTTTGATCAGGACCTGGGAAGGTTGGGATGAATGGAGAAGGTGAAACAGCTTCCCATCTTCCACAGTTTGAACTTGGGGACTTATCTAGTGAGGGGATTTTTTCCCCCCCAAAATGGTCTTCAGAGTGGACAAGGTGTGGTTGGAGGGGCAGCCATTAGCTAATTGGAGCAACACCTATTCGAATGCATTGGATTCATGTCTGCTAAATTGAAGCAACCAAAAGATCTTTGCAGAAGCTTACCAACTAAATCCCATTCGCCATTTGAAATGTATCCAGATATTTCGGCTTCTTTCATCTGCAGATCCAATGACCACCCATCGTAAGTCCAAGATCCAAACTTCAGTTTACATTTCTGGACATCAAAAGGAAACCAGCGTACATCTATGGAGCAAGTGCTCTTGAATATTCCTATATTGACATTTGGGATGCAAAACACATCCATGAGTAGATACTTTCTTCAAGAATCACTTTTTAAATATATATGCAGGAAATAATTCCACACTCTGACCATTCAAAACAATGGATCTATTTGAAAGTGTTTCTGGCATAAGCTGAATGCAAAATTAGGGTATCAACATTGCTACGGTTGAACTGGCGTCATTGTATAGTATCTTTTGATGTTTGTTGGTGGTACTTTTCCATCCACCTCCAGGACTCCTTTATTATTCACTGCTTCTCACACACCTGTAAAGCAATTCTTTAATACGGCTATAATGTTTACCCACAGGTACTTCCAAAATCTAATCTCACCATTGGTCTTCAAGATCAGCAGAGGTGACAGGCATAGGATCAGTCATCACAAGATGCTTTCACACATCAGCCTCACCCATAGCATCAGAGAATTTGGCACATTGAAATGATTTTGTGGATGGAGATGCCACCAAACTCCACAAAACCCAGACTTGGAATATAAACCATGGCAGCTCTCAGCACTTGCCTTCGGAACATGGCATCTCCACGTGTACCTCCATTCTGGATTTTAATCCAAGTGGGAATCCCTTTCTTCCTCCATCAGCGTCCACTCACCTTGCCAAGGTGGTGGTGACAGGGTTGGGGTAGCGACCACAGTGAAAGAAACCGAGCTCTGTTCATTTTTCCAGCCCTTTCCTTCCCATCTCTAGAAGCATGCTAGGTGTCCTGGGGACTGCAGTTTCCCCAGGTCTCAGACAATCCTTACCTGGAGGGATATACTGACAGTATCCAGAAGAGTTCACCAGAACATTTGTGTGAAATGTAGCATCGAAGCGCTCGTCAGCACTGAAAGGGGAAATGAAGAAAAACAACCCTGATTTAAAACCAGCAACAACAGGGTTCTGTCCTAAAGCAAAGCAACATCTTCAGCTTTCATATGGAGCCCATATTGAACTCTGCAATTTGAGAGGAGTGTGTGTGTGTGTGTGTGTGTGTGTGTGAGAGAGAGAGAGAGAGAGAGAGAAGGAATTTCTCCATCTGTCTATACGTCTCTGTCTTTCTCTTTCCCTCTCTGCGGCTCTCTCACTCTCTCCTTTCTTCAGCAATGCTTGAAAACCAATCTGGAGCACATGCTGTTTCTGGCATTGCAGGTTCCGTGCAGCTGCCAAAGTGCCAGATCCCAGCATCCACTGAGGCACCACATGGGAAGCAAGTTGAGCTCAGGCACAGCTACAGAACCTGTCCCCCACAGCTTCTCATTCTTCCTCTGTTTCTTTCTTAGCCAGGGGTTTGGACTGTGCCAGGAAGACTCTCCATTTTTATGAGAGAGAAAATGGGGTTGGCTGGTTAACCTCTGTGGGAATGTACTTCCATAGCGGGAACCACAACCAAAAGTCCTCACCACTCATCTCAGTCAGACAGACGTTGCGTGCAGAAAGAATCTGGAGCGATTCAGCACACAACAGCCTCAGCAGGCAAGCACGGGAAGGGGGCGAAGGAGCTCCCCCATCGTTTATTTCTTGCGTCCTGTGGATTTCATAGAGATGTATAGCACTTCTGAGAAGCATTTTAAAGATGTATTCTTTGTTCTGTATTTGTATTTCTGGATCCCATCTTTCCCCCCGAAAACAGGGATGGATTACACACCCATATGCACACAATGCATTCAAACATTATGAAGAGACTCAGGATTGATTTATGAACAGTTTGCAAACACAGCTAAGAACTAAACTTAATAGGAATAAAGTTCCCAGCTGTCGCCCTCTGATTGCTCAGGTTGCAAGCAGAAGGCTGCTGGTGCTGCATTTAATATATTTGTCAATCTTCCCACAAGGACTGCGTTCAAAATCAGCAGGCTGGGAGAGTTACGGGTTACGACTGCATCTGCAGCCTGGGAAAGCATGAGACTGCAGAGCAAACGACACCCTTCCTTTGCTCCTGAGTCCGCGCCCTTTGATCTTTGCAGGAGACGAGCAAGCATGCTGCGGTGGGGTAGTCAAATTGCGGGGTGCTCCAAGCTTTTTTCCTGGTGAGCAAACCACCACCCAGATCACTCTTTTCTCCAAATATTTCTGGGTTGGCTCCTCCTGAGGTGCAATGGCTTCTTCCTTGCACAGCAGGACTTCTCCATCTTCTCTTCCCCTCAGCACATGCCTCAAAACTGCTCCATTCCCCACCCTCTGAGCAGATCTGGGGTTATGAAGGAGTCTTTGGTGGGAAGGGGGAAGTCATTTTGCCCACAATACCCTTCTTGTGGCAGCAAAGCTGAGACACCGTGTGGTTAGAGCACTGGACTCAGACTTGGGAGATTTGGGCGCTAGTCCCCAATCAGCCATGAAGCCCACTGGGTGACGTTGGGCCATTCTCAGCCTCACAACCACCATAAACATAGAGGAGGAAGATGATGTAAGCCTTGCATTCCTTGCAGGAAAACTTGGGTATAAATATAATAAATAAATAGCATAGCCCATTGGATGCAGCCCACTGTCTCCACAAAATAGACGCCCCATGTGTGAGGTGCTTACCTGCAACAGAAGATACGCAGCTTTTGCTGGGACTGGGTTTTCTAAAGCGAGTTCCTGATTTCGGATTTTGGATTTCGGATTCTGTGCCCAGAAGTCTAGACCAATTGCACACCTTCCCCTGATGTTAATCCACGGAAATTATGGGCTGGCTACCGACGCACCCATCCAGACCAAGCAGGGTTCTTTGTGTGCCATGTTCATTGCCAAGATTTCGCAACAACCCATGCAAGGTCTTCTTGCAGTCATTCCCAGTGCCCAACAAAGACCGGGTCGCTTTTGTTCATCATCCAGGCCAATTCCCCTCTTGCTCGTACCTTTACCTGCTAGCCTCTGTTAGCACTTCCTTCCTCTCACCTAACTTGGAGGCGATGAACACAAATGGCTGAGGCCGAGTCGTTTGTTCTTCCCGGCAAGGGGGAAAGGGGTGGGCAAAGCAACTTAGTGAAGAAGGGAAAGTAAAGAAGCAAGCTTCAAAGGGGAAGAGGGGGCAACTCCAAGTTGCTCTTGCGCGTGGAGCCGTTGAGGGCATGGGCTCTCAGCATGGGCCTAATCATGCTGCCAGCCCTGTTCAAGGTGGTCAAAACCATTCGGTTGCTCCCTGATGGGGAAACCTCTTCCATCAGCGTAATGTGGCACAACTGGCAGAGCGGATGGGAGGACTCAGACTTCAGTAATGGGACTTTTGGAAGGTGATAAATTTGCTAATGAGCATCTTTGCAATTACCAAGGAGAAATGACAGGAGCCTGCCAAAGTGTCTTCAGCAGGAGCATATGTTTAGTTAGAACCACCATTGCTCTTTCATGGACCTCCCACAGGAGGCATTTAGCAGGGCTGAATTAAGCATTGGTCTGTTTTGCTGCAAACTAAGCTCTTCCCTTCCAAGGGATGGATGAGGAACCTGCTTCAGCAGATTTTTTTTTTTCTTTTACCAATTTACCACCCAGAAATGTCTGCACTTGGCATCCCAAAATCCATACATTGAGGTATTCTACAGAGTAGGGTACTTGGAGCCATTCTGATGCACCCAATTGAAACCTGCAAACATTTTGCAAATTGACACAATTCAGTAATGAGCACAAAATGCACATATTTTCAAACATTTACCAAAGAAAGCCCTCTGATTCCTTTCCATGCCAGTCTACAAAAGCAGAACCAGAACCAGAACCAGAACCAAAGGAGAAGCAGAAGACTTTCGTATGAACCCAGTGTGGAACACACTCAGAAGCTAGGAAAAGGAGGAGACTAACAGTGTCAGACAAAACGCATCCACCCATTCCTTCCCATATCATGGTGGCTTCAAGGAGAACGTCCATATTCAGAAGCAGTGTCCATCACCAATTAGCAGCAGCTGGAAAGCAAAGCCATGGAAGAGGGATCTTCCCATCAAGCCCCACTTGATGCCTCTTGGTGGCATCTGGCTGGCCACTAGGTGGAAGCAAGACCTGGGCTAGATGGAGCCTTGGTGCGGCCGGCAAGCAAGTTCTCGGTCTCTCAAGACTGGCCCATCAATGTGATGAACCTTATGCGGCGCTGGCTTCCAGGGTCAAGTATCTTGCAAGAGGCACACTGCAGCAGGGATCCTCTCGCCCTGGCCCAGAAAATGATGGTGGAGTCGGGGGGGGGGGGGAGAGATGGATGGCAGCAAGCAGTGATAGCAATGGTAGTTGCTGAGGAGAGGGTCCATTGATGGAATCTTTGCCCAGGAACCATCCAGAACCCGGAACTGGCTCTGTGACAAAGGCGTAGTGGCGGAATGGAGTTTCCAGGTTTAGAGGCAACCTGCTTCCAAACCCCAGATACTCAGGATAAATAGGAAGAAACACTATTGCCTGCGGTGGGCTTCCCAGAAACATTCATCCAGCCAATATGGGAAGCAGGTTGTTGGATTAGGTAGGCATATGGTCTGATCCACAGATTAGATTAAGGGTCCACCTTAGCATCTAAATTTTTTAAAAAGCATTTTTATTACATTTCTATGCCACCTGTGAGCTGAGGTTCTTTGGACGGTTCATAAATCAAAAGTTAAAGCCATCAACAATAATAACATAACAAAGCACTGTATAAAAGCTGTATAAAGCCAAATGCAATTGAGTAGGAACCAAGTTAAAATCCAGCATCAGTATAATATACTCTCCTGGGGCAAATTATAGTCTTAGTTTATTGACTCCAAGATGAATGCACCAAGCATGTGGCATTCCCTAATTTTTTCAGGTGTTTCGGAGAAACCAAATTGGCAAGGAGGGAAAATGCATTTGGCAAGCCTAACACAGTTGAGGACACCTGTTTGAAACACATGCTGATTTTCTCGCACTTGTAGATTCTGGAAGTTCTCCATCCACACTTTCCAAGATTAATAGCTACTCAACACAAGTTCTAACATAAATGGTGATGCCAAAAGCAGTGGTCCATTCTGACAAGCAATGCACAAACTCTGGTGTAAAACCCATCCCGAATCTTTTAACGTGAAACACACCACAGAGAGATGACTCTCCAGGCAGGCAGTAAACAAAATGAATTTGTCGGGTCTGAGAGGAGGAGGGCTGAGTTGCTGGATGGCAAGAGGGGTTGTCTCCTCACATACCCAAAATAATATACGTCAGCCTTACCATCAAGAGGAAGAGAACGCACAACTGCTGCTGACATCAGCTTCTCCAAATAGACAGGGAATAAAAAGCTGCTTTTGTGGATGGAAGCAGGCAATCTGGTTTCTTTGTACTCAGAAGACATGCATTTAATGAACAGACATATGGCAAAGAGAATTGAAGTCTCTGGCAGGCACAAGGGCAACACAAGTGTTGTGTTGCTACCATGGATGAAGAGTGGCAGAAGAAAGCTGCGGGAGCTGGGCAGGGAAAGCCCAGATCCAAAACAGATGTCGGGCTTTTTAATCCTCTCAGCATGGAGGGTATCTGTTGACATTTCCAGTCACCACACAAGATGGGCAGAAGAGGGGGTGTTGCTCAGGGTCTTGGCCTGGATCTCCGGTTGAGTGTCCGATCAGTACGGCCTCCGGTCTTGGAAATGCCAAATGTGCATCGTCTGCTCTGAAGCCTATTGAGCCTCCGTGATGTTGAGGCTAAGGTGCTAGGCCTCTCTGAGGAACAGGGAGGGACCAAAAATATGCTCTGAAATGTTTTAATAAAGCCAGGAAGGAACTCAGGAGGGTAGAAGAAGCAGCGTGTGTTACAAAGTTGAGCCATGATATGGGCTGCATGAGAATTTTGTTGCAGCTCAGTTTTGATAAGAAGTTACTAGATTTAATTTATAATTTTTTCATTCATAAAGGTCTAAATATTCAGGACAAAAAGAGCTTGGGATTTAAAAAGAACAGCATGTGGGAGATGGGCGAACTTGCTGTTTTTGAGCATGCATGAATTCTCCAAAGTCACTTGAAAGCTTGTTTCAGCTCACTCCCATTTTGGACAAGTTTTTCAGCTCATTTGAATAGCAAATGAATAGCTCATTTGAATAGCAGCTCATTTGAATAGGATAAATGTTTCTCCTATGGACTAAAGGCGGAAAATCTGGAGTGGATATATCCTGATCCAAAATGGGCCTCAACAATTTTCTCATACATCCCTAACCCCAAGTGCCTTGTCTGCTCGATGGCATGACAGTCCCTCGCCTTCAAGGACCTCTTTGTCTTGGGCCAACCTGTATTTTGGGGCTGGGAATGACTTCTGCCTAGAGACATATCGCCATGCTGAGTGGACAATTCTGCAGTGGGTGGCCATGTTATAGATCCAATATAGCAATATATGTGGCTCAAACCAAAGGCTCAGACAGACTCCTGTTTCCCCGGCAGTGACAGCCAGATGCTTCTGGGAATCCCAAGGGGAGGAAAGGGACATTGATCTTGAACCTAGAGATATTGTCCATGATGAGCCATCTGTCATGAGCATATCCCTCTTCTTTTCCCTTTCCAGCAGATCAAGGGGAAAGGCTTCTAAGATACCATCCTTTACAGAACTAGGCTGTAAGCCAGGACTGGCTTTGGAATACAGAGTGAGCAATAATAAAGTCATGAAGAAGTCGCATCTATCAAGGGAGTGATCCTGCTGGCAGGTGGAGTTAGCTCTTGCCCATTTCTGGAGTTGATCTCAAACTGATTCCCCATCTTACCCCCAAAAGGACTGGCTCCACGCTAAGGGAAGTTCAAGCTGCTCCTGGACCAGACAGGGGGAATGCTGGGAATTACTCAATTGGCCCATTTATTTGGCTTGACAATAAGCCACTGAGTTGATGAACTTCAACTCCTGCTTCTCTGACCCACCTTGTTCTATTGTGCCTCCCCTGAACTTGAAGGTCACCTCACTCTGACCAGCCACTTGGCTAATTGCTCTCATTCACCTTGGCACATAAGTAGTGCATTCCAACCCCTCCTCTTCCTCCCCTAGTTAAATTTCAACTTGCTAGCTTGGAATGGTGCATTTTGAGAGAAGGGGCCTTCTCCCAACATCACCATGCAGCTCCCTCACCTTCTTCATTAATTCACATAGTCCCCCTTTAAACCCATCTAAGTTAGTGGCTCTCAACTCACATCACCTATGACTACCATGTCCAAAATTCTAGGGACCTTTTTCCCTGCTGAAGGCTTTCAGTGAGAGCTGGTCTTGCATCCTCCACTAGCCCAATTTCAGATTTTCAAGCAGTGGTTTAGTGCCTGAACTGCAACGTTCTGTTACTTGTAAGTACACCCCACTGAGTTCAATGAGACTCTCACTTCTCAGTCAGTGGGCGAAGGACTGCAGTCCTAATCGCTCTTTGCTGAAGAGCGAGGATGAATGAAAATCAGGAAGCAGCCCCACTGGCACCTGAATCCGTTGCACTTTTGCCAGAGGTGACATGTACAATAAGAGAAGCATTTGATCTTCAGTCCTTCAAAGCCAGGAGAGGAGGCGGGGGGAGATCTTGGGCTAGGAATGCAGACTCCAGATGAAGAAGCAGCGACGCTGCTATGGAAATGTACCGAATTGCTAATGAGAAGCAAGAATCCCTTTCAGCCTGCAGAAGCGGCCAAAGAAGCCCTCACCCCCCAAACCGCATGATACTCCTGACAACCTTGGACTGCGTGTTAATCCAGCTTTTTCTCTCCAGCCCAGATGGGACCAAGGTGCATTTCACAGCTCCGCATATCACTTAGAAATAATGCAGTTCTGGTGTATTCTGGGCTGTTGTCTTTGAGAATTATCTTCAGCCAGGCAGGCTCAACTCAGAGTTATGGCAGTGGCAGCACAGGGACAGATGGGAAGACACCAGCTCCTGTCACCATTCATTCATTAGTGCTTGCAGAAGCAGGGGAAGCAACCCCAAAGAGCTGAGTGGGGGAAGCCAGAGAGCCCAAGAAACTGGCAGCAGGACCCCCACTGGGATGTGAGGTTCAGCCGTTGCCCAAATAGGTGATGCTGAGGTTGGCCTTCTTCTACAATCAGGTGACTTACAGAGGTGCATTGTGTGTAGGCCTGGGTGAGGTCAAGGAACAGATCTGGGTAGTGGCTGGAAATTAGGAGAAACGCTGGGCTAGGGAGAAGGTCCAGCCTTGATGGCTGCTTCTCTGGGCTTCAGCCTTGAGGTTTAGAAGGAGATGCCAGTGCAGTTATAGTCTCTCCTATGGAAGCCTTTGAAAGAAGGGCAGTCAAAGCAATCTCCAGGGAAAGCATTCCTCCGTTTCACCATCTCTATTCACTACGGACCTCAGTGTTTATTTTAGATTATTCTTGCTGTGCTGACCCCATGAAGGTAAAGTTCTGGATCTGGAAAAGGTGTGAGAAGATTGTGTCTAAAATTCGGCGGAATTCAGGTGAGAGATTCTGTCACACAACCAAGGAATTGCTTCTACACAGAGAACGTAGATGCAACTGTGAAATTGGTTACTAGAAGATGTAGTGTTGGCCACCAATTTGAATGGCTTCAAAAGGGGAACAGACCAATTCCTAGAGGAGGAGAAGGCTTTCCAGAGATGGTCACATGGTGTCTCCAGTATCAAAGGCGGCCATGCTCCCATATACAAATTTCCGGGAAATAAAAATTTCAGTCTAGCATGCCAAGCACATTGCAATTATTTCTCACTTTTACACTTTTCCAAAGTGCAATGCAATTCTCAGCTCCAAAAACAAAACAACCCAAAATGTATATTTCAGGAGAGGTACGTGCAAGAATGTATAGTTCAGGATAAACTACATATAAAGTATGTCTTGTATAATCATATTCATGCAGGAAAGGCATATTTGAGGGGGGATTAAAAGAATGTGGATTTTCAGGCTTTCTTTAAAATTGGAGATTGATGGCAGCAATGGGACAGGATGGACTTATTCACACGCGCAAAACTGAGATGAGCTGGAAATAGAAGGGCCCATCCATCCTGGGATGAAACACAGTTTTCACAAGCAAACATGTCGAATTTTCCAATTATCATCTGTGAAAAGTTGGACGGCTGGCAGGTTGCTGGCGGCTATGTGGGTCATCCGTCTTTGTTTGTTGTTTGCCTTGTAGCAACCAGCTCCAAGAAGAATTCGGTGGAAGCTGGTCTGCATAAGCGGCTGAGAATTTCACGTGACACTGAACCAACGGAGACAGTCAACAGGGGATAAGGCGAGGAACATGAGAGTGAAAAGCAAAATGACAAGTGACCTGGGAATATTTAAGCATGCTGTCTGGATTAATCCTCCTCTCTCGGAGATGGTCACCACCTATCCAGCACATAAATACCAGTCAGCGTGCGTGGATGCTGCAGCCAGCTTGGTAAAATAAACAGGCACTGGCAGCCATGCATGCAGAGCATCATTTTGAAAGCACAATGTTCCAGCTAAACAGCAGGAGTTGGAAGAACAACTTTAGAAAAGGGAGGGCATAAGGTCTTTCTTTTAATTCTCTGCACTGGATTTTTAAAAAATGATGGTACTTTGTACATCCTTAACATTCAGCAAGAATACTCGAAAGGACACAGAACAGGCAAGAAGGGGTCTGGTTGGTCCAGAATTCTTTTCGCAGTGGACAACTAGCTGCCTGCAGAAGCCCACAAGCAACCTAAGGGCAAGAGCACCCTCCAACCCTTGTTCCCCAGCAACTGGTGAACACAGGCAGAGTTCCTCTCCCATCAATAGGGCATGGCCATCAGGACTAGGAGCCAGGTGTTGCCTTCTTCTCCATGCATTTCTTTGCTCCCCTTTTAGGGCCGTCAAGCCTGGAGGCACTACCTAAACTTGCTAATACAAAGACCTGGACCATAGAGAGAATGAAAGATGAAGTTCTTCCAATTCAGCCTTCTGGGAGTGGAATGGGAGAGGAAGTTCTCTAAGCTGGAAGACCAGGCAAGGGGTCCACAGACTTGGAGTTGTCTTGGAAACCCCCATTGGTAAGATGCACAGAGGCTGCAAAGAACTAACCATTACCTGTGTTCACTGCCCGTCTCAGGCCCTGCCTCACCTGCCACCTCATCCTTCTTCACGCAGGTGCCAGGTGTTCCTGTGTGCAGATCAGGTGCCCACCAAACTAAGCTAAGACCCTTCTTCCATGAGAAAGCATCACCAACTTGCGCTCTTGCTCAGATGGCTTGCGACAGCCCTCGTGGCCAGTTATGCAAAACGGTTTTGCAGAAGAGGCTGCTACGTGTTAATGAGGATTTCTATTCACAAATGAGACACATATGTATTATTCAGCATTTTGCCTCTCCAGGCAAGTGTTGATGTTGTACTAAGAAAGCAAAATTTCTGATGCAGCCTTGAATTACACTGAATAAAAATGAACAGCACTCTTTCCCTCTCTCTCGCTCTACATAACACAATCCAGCTTTGTAATTAAGGCTGGAATGAAAGCATTATTAGAACTGCAACAATATTGTGCTCTTATGTGACAATTCTGGGTGGTTTGCCAAATGGAGCCGATCCATTAATGCATCCATTTCTATTAAGAAATGAGCACTTCCCATCTTGCTGCAAGATCACAGGAGATGGTTTCAGCTCAGCCCTAGGCAGAAACTTTGCCTTGACTGACAGGTGTCCAGTCCATCCAAAACTTGAGTTGCACATACTGCTGCTGAGAAAGAACACACCAAAGGTATAAGCACCTGAACACAGATCTTTCCTCCATCAAAACCCATGAAATTAACGAGCACACATGCGGAACGAGAAACCAGCGTGGCAATCACGAAGGTAAACCAGTGCAATAAAAATGAGCAAAGCATGAAATGAATGACTATAAAAAGAAAGAAAACCCAAAGATGTTTCACTGGGCACCTCTCCAACATTCAGATATTCTGGGCGAAAGAAATGGGGATGTTTTATAAAATGGCATCATCCTACCTGTTATACAGAAGGATATCGGGCTTCCATATCTGACCATCAGGAAAACGGACATTTTTCACTCCAGGGTAATCAGACATGTTCCACTGTAAATAGTAGTCTGTCCAATACTTGAAATGGAAAACAAAAATGAACACACACATGACCAGGAGTTATTCTAGCTTTCCATTAACTTACCTTTTCAGAGGAATGGCCCAAGATTAGCATTTTCCTCAGATAAGCATTATCTGGATCTCTCTTTCTCTCAAAAAGAGCAACATTTTGCTTGCAATTGTAACCTCTTCATAAATTGAACATTTAGCTACCTGAAGCAGGGGCTAAACCAATTGAAAGCATTAAAATTTCATTTTTAGGTCATCCAATTGTATACAACTGCCTATAAAAGATATTCCAGTATATTTGTGACTTATGCTTAATATCTCCTCAAGCACAAAATTGGAACATAGCGATTTTTCAAAGATAAGACCCACACATTCACTCCAATTACATTTCTTTTTAGAGCCATAACTTCGTTGGTTCCTTTTAGATAAAAATGATTGTGCTGTAATAACCAATTAGAAGCGCATTAGGTTGGTTGGCCAAAGGTCTCTTTACTGATAAGATGCATGAGCAATTTTTACCTTCTGAAGGAACGAGGTGGGTTTATCGCTGGAAGAAAAGCTTGTCATGAACGAGAAAAGGAACCATTCTGTTTACATTTCGCTCTCATTGAAAATGTATTTTTTCAGAAGTCACCAATCTGCACACATATTTAGAGAGTGTGCAATGTGCTTCTTCACAGATATTTATGCCTGTTGGCTACAGATACCCCTTTTTTCTCTTGTCACCCACAGGAGTCTTGATGCCAGTCTAGTTCACCCAACTTTATGGTTCCTAAGGAATTAACACGGAGTATTCTTATCAGTTATAATGCCAAAAGCAACAATTTTTTTCTGAACATAATTCCAAAAAATGTGCCATGCATTTAAGCAAACACCACCACCATCATCATCATTATTATCATCCCCCCCCCCCCCAATGAGCAGTTTAAGCTTCGGGTTGGCTCCAGACTTAGCCATGTTCGACCCACCGGAATCAATGGGAGTTACGTTCTGATCGATTTCAAAGGGGCTGTTGTTAGGTATGGCTTGAAAGGGGCCCAACCCATTGCCACTGTCATCATCACCAAAACAGGGATAATGGAACATCAGGAGTGCCTTGAAAACCTTCCAGCACAGCTTAGACCCTTGCAATTAGCATCACCTGCATCACGACCCAACAACCTGAAGAGACCAGGATGAAGGAGCAAGGTGAATGCTGGCTCCTGTTGATTTGCGCTAACCTGCACTGTCAAGTCCTCTCATCATTCATTTCACCTTCAGAGAGTCAGACGCTTCCACCACATGCTTATTTTGCTCCACACAATGTATGAAAGCCTCATTATGAGGCAGTGCTGGCCTCTTGGATAACTTCGGCCTGACCATTAGCTATTCTTTTGCAAACAGCATGCTGTTTGCAGCATTGCCAACCTCAAGAAGGATCAGAGTGAAGCCTCCAGTTCCTGTTGGAGGAAGAGTTAAAACAGGATGTCTAGTGCCGAACTCTCAACATTTTCAGCACCTGTGACTCTTAACAACCTGCTCCTTAATTAAACTGCCTGGGTTCTTCAGGCACCAATTCCACAAGTGGGTGCATTTATTTCCTACTTTTGCTGAAGAGCACATGCCCTTTTCATATCTCCTTTTAAAAATGCAAATGCATGATTAACGGCAATAGAAGAAAATCTCGCTACAGGGTAAGAGCTTGATTTTTAAAAAATAATGCTAGCATTCAAAAGAAAAGTGGGGTTGAATTGAGACTACTCACTTCTGGGGCGAAACAAAGGATGCCTTATCAAAATTTCCCTCATGCACTTATATTGATCAAATTTCAGGAGCGGGGGCTGATGGGAGCATTCCTTACAGGAGCTGTCTATGGTCCTGAACCAAAATGGGTCTCCAATAAAACTTAGAATAAATGCTGCAGTGGATACTGTGGCACTTGTGGAAAAGCTGGTTCCATACAGTTCCTGCCATCTGGTTTGAAGTGCTCATGTTTCAGATGGCTCCAAATAACAAGGGGTGCTAAGATAAGAAAAAGAAAGTCGCACTATAAGACGGCGTGAATTTTTGGCCCAAACTCCTCCAACTTTGTTGCCGCTACCGCTTTTACTGTGTGTTGCAAAACACACAGCATGTCAACAAAGTTTGCCCTGATTTTCTTGGCTGCTACAGCAAGAAGGGACGCTTTCTAGATACTTGCCCCTTTAGCAAAGAACAAGCTGTTATTGCATTCAAAGACAGCTCAGCTGTGGATTCAGCTTGACTGCCAATGGGCAAGGGACCTTGTGAGAGATCATGCACCAATGCCTCAATCTGATGCAGGCATGTCAGATTCCACCATCGCTCCCAGTGCAGAACCTGAGCTGGCAGAGCAACAGAGAGAATCCTGAATCAATCAGAGAAAGGGGAAACAGGGGAGCATTTCATGGAAAGCTTTGGCCCAGGTCCAGGATATCAATAAATAATCTGGAACAGCCACTTCTTTAATGGCTCCATTTTGTAGACTTTTTATTTTAATTTATTTGCTTTGGGAATGCAGTATCATCTCCTACATTTGCCGTGCAATTTTGACCTCGAGCAAGCAAATAATTCCTTTCTGAAACTGGGGCAGGAGTGCCCATGCCTCCACTCCTGACGAACGGAATTGCCAGCCTTCTCTGCTTTTGTTTTTGCTTTTCCTTGCAGGGGAGATGGGCTGCTGCTGCAGCTGACGCATTGAGCTCGGTGCCCACAGTCCAAACAAATGGCAGCAGATCACACATGTAGAAATAAATAGCTCCTTCAGGATAAGCCTCGCCTCTGAAAGTGAAGCCATCTGGACCAAGCCACTGAACAGTGGCTGCACAGATCAGAGTTTGGCAGCCGGCGTCTGTCTGTGTCTGAAGCCCTTTGGATGCGCTCAGTCAAAGCTGAGTTGAAAGAAGGTGCAAGGTTTCCTGCAAGGGAGAATGCTGTTCAGTTAATGCTTCATTTGGTTGGCTTCGTGTCTGAACCCCAGTCATCTGAAGGGGTGCAAGCGTCCACCCAGAGCTTGGGTTTCCTGTCACTGCACAGAGAGAAGGCCCAAGCACTGCATGGCAGGAGGGTGAGGTTGCACTCCTATCCAGCTTGTGAGCAGCTGCTTAGCTGTTGTGGGAAGAGAATGTTGGACTAGATGGCCCCATGGCCTGACCCAACAGAACTGCTCCTCTGCTCCTTAGAAGCCGGTTTCTCCCAATATTTGACAGCTGGGCTGCAGCTCCAGTCAGTAATTGACAAGCTCCAACAGCTGACTCACACTCACACGGTCAGGCACTAACTGCATTTGACAGCTGGCAAATGCAGTAGCAATCAGTAATTGGCAGGATCTGATAGATGTCTTGCAATAGAATTTTATGAATTGCATTTATTCATTAATAAATGTAGACCTTACCGGGAGTACAGCATTCAGTTTTGGGCAGCCAAGTGTTAAAAGGGTGCTGATAATCTGGAGAGGGTTCGGAGGCAGGCAATGAAGATGATACAGGGCCTGGAAAATAAGTCTTACGACAAGAGGCTGACTGAACTGGGCCTGTTCAGCCTTGAGAAAAGAAAACTAAGAGCTGACACTGGATGGGTACCTCAAAGGCTGTCACAAAGAAGCAGAAGACCTCTTCTCACTCATCCCGGGTTGTAGGACATGGAACAAAGAACTTAACCTGCAGTACACCAGGTGCAGGCTAGAAACAAGGAAGAATTTCCTGACTGTCAGAGCAATACAACGGTGGGACCACCTGCCAAGAGAGGTCATGGGCTCTTGCACAATAGATGCATTCAAGAAGAAAATAGACCACAATCTGTGTGGGATGAAGTAACTGGCAGGGGGTTGGACCGATGACCTTCTTGGCCCCTTCCAACTCTATGATTCTATGATTAAATCATTCACAACAGACAATCTAGGTTTTGTCAAACCCTATTACCCTTGAGGACTTTTATTTATTTATTTCTGTGCCACCCAATAGCCCAATTAGCTATTCATTTGTGTGTTTTCAAGAGACTTTAACACAACCATGCCTTCAAAACAAACTTCTAAGCTTTAAAACTCACCATATGTAGCCAAATGTTGGTGGTTAAGACTTGGTTCTTTTCATCCTGCCAAAAAGGAAAATAAAGAAAGGAGAATGAATGAAGAGTTTGTGAAATGCCACCCCCATTTTTCTTCTGCTATATCTTTTTAAACAACTTCGTATTCAGAATCAACGGCCTGGGGAATTCATGTGGATTCTCTATAACAACTCATGTTAACTGATTTTAGAACGTCAGCCATATGAGCTACCGCTCCACACATCTGGCTGGGTGCCAGTTCTGAAGCAGCTTATCTGTGTCCAGTAAACCAGAGGAGGGGAGCCTTATTCATAGGTTCAAAAAGGAACCATCAGTTGGGGGCTTCAGCTAATGGGAGGATAGAAGCCAAGCCAAAAGTGGTTGGAGTTTCCACCACTCCAGGATGTCAACGCATCAGCCCCTGATTGCCCAGGCAGTTGGTACAAGACCAAGAAACATCTAAAAATGTACCACAATTCAAATAGGCTGCAGCTTCTCGATGCTCTTCGAGGGCTTCCCCCTATAGAGTGCATTGCAATAAGCTACGCAGGAAGTCATTAAGGCAGGATCACTTAGTGTGGTCCACTTAGTCATCTCTGGAAGGGGTGCACCTGGAACACCACTTGAAGCACCAAGAACAGGCTGAGGAGCAACACTGAGCAAGCGCCAGACGCATGGCCAAATCAATAGCGAGGTTCAGAGTTGTTTCTATCAATTAGCACTGCATAGCAGGTGTATTCTCAGGTGGATATTGTGAGTAAAGCTGTTAATAGAAGCTCTGTCCACAGTCCATCCATCACAGGTAAATACTGACTTTCAGCTAAATGGCTATTTAAGAACCTTGGTGGAAATGGACTTGTTTTGCCATGAAGGCTCTACCTTGATGTCTCAGGGAAAGATTCCATTAGTCATTATCAATGTTGCTTCCATGCAGCCTGCTGTTAATAATGGCTCATAAAGGTGTAGCTTGTTGCTGCAGCGGTTGAGAGAAATGCCTCATCAATGTTAATGGCTCTGTTATTACTTCCAAGCCATACCCAAACATTGCTGTAACGCATCAGTCAAGTAACAGCCTATTAGCAAAAAGCCAATGTGATGAAAACCCTGCTTTCCAAAGCCGTACATCCACTATTAAACCTTGAACTTAAGCCTGGAGTCAGCACCAAAAGCCACTGGAGCCAATGCCAAAAGCTTACTGGGGTAGGAGGACCCAACACCAGAGAACAGGAGAAATGAGTTCAAAGGCATGTTTAGAGGCCTCTCTAAAGGGCAATAGGAATCCTAGGTGGTTAATGCTCCAAAAAATCTTAGTTAGGAGCTACCATGGAGATCGTCTAGCCCTGCTACCGGCTCAGTACAAGAAGTTGCTACTCCAGTATCCCCAATAAATCTCCATCCAGCCTCTAGTTAAATACCTCCAGCAAGGCAGTTTCTTCCACAGTCAGACTGTGATATATTAAGAAGTTTATCCTAAGGCTCAGTAGAATCTTCCTCCCTGAAATTTCCACCCATTGGTTTTAGTCCTGTCCTTCTGAGCAACAGAGAACAAACCCACTCCACCTTCTGCATGATGTCTCCTGAGATCTATGAAGCTAGCTAACATGTCTTTTCTGAATCTTTTCTTCTCCAGGTCAAACATGCCCAGCACACACACACACACACACACACACACACACACACAGAGAGAGAGAGAGAGAGAGAGAGAGAGAGAGAGAGAGAGAGAGACTCTCTCTGTGAGAGAATCAGGAAATGGAGCCAAGAAGAAGAAACATCATCACAAGCCTGCCCATAGATTAACTCAGAGCTGGTCCTTCTGTTGCTTTCTTCTCCTGCCCAGGTTCAAAAGAAAAACAGAAGACTATAAGGAATGTTCTGGTTCCTCATTTTGCCTTGTGCTGGAGTTCAGTATTTTAACATTTCATTTTTCAATGACTGCCCTCTTCCCGTACTGCCCCCTACTTTACAGACAGTTCTCTGTTTGAAGGTGCCTTCTATCTGAAGAGTTGTCCACCCCAGCCCAATATAAAGTCAAAGAACCATAAGACCTTGCACCTATCAAGGCCTCCTCGTCAATCTTCTCCACTATGACCAGGGTTATCATATTTTTAGTTATTGGTTTCGTTATTGTGGTTTTGTTTCTGAATTTGCACCTGTACATATAAATGCTATAGGCATTGTTGCAAAGTTAGAAATAATTCACATTTCCAAATGTTATGCAAATAGGTATCTTCTTGTTCGGTGATGCATAAATGGCCACACTAACATGTCCACTTATAGCCCTAACCTGGCCACAACATGTGACCTTTGTTTCTGAGATGCTGAATGGATCTAAGCCTCTTGACTGACCGACCGGATACCCACGTGTCAAGATCTTTTTCATGCTTGGCATTTTTTGCATGGCTGTGAGTGACCGCTGGCTTTGCACTGGCTTTCAAACAGCCTCTTCACTCAGATGTCAAGAACCGCAGTTTAAAAAAGGAAGTGAAGAATTGTGTACTTGTTCTTGTTCCTGAATTGCTCATTTGTGCCATTCGCTGAGGAGCATAAGTGAAGGAGAAGCAACTTTAGGGAAACTTCCTCTTTCCCCGGGTGTATTTCATTACTTTAAAAATTCAGAACGCATGAGAGAGCGGTTTTAGACGTAATAGCTCCCCCTTGGCTTACTGCGCCAAAGATGCCTTCCCCAAAGTCTGTCTTCCAGGCAGTTGCTATTCAGCCATAAAAACAACGCTGTGTGCTGAACACGGCCAGTGATGCTTCTGACTAAGAGCAAATGATTCCTCGGGCTTTTCCGCTAAGCAGTCTGGGCCGTTTCTCATCAGGGCTAGAGGAAGATTGGCAGCCTTCTGTTTCCCAGAAGCTTTGTTCCTCACTGCTGCACTTCCAACAGCTTCATTTGGAGACAAAAAGACAGACATCGGGCTTTTCCCATCTTCTGCCAGGCGATGAATGCGATGGATTATTCTTTTGCAAAACTGCAATCCTTCATATTCCCGGTAAATATGACAAACCATTCCCTTTTGCAACAAAGAAAATACAAATGAGTTATTGTTTTGTTTGGAGGGGAAAGGTTGCTGCAGCTGAAAACAGATTCTTAAGAGGTGGAAAAGGCCAGAGAGAGAGGAAATGGCCTTGCAAAAGCTCCATCCCTTTGCCAGCTCTAAAGCTGGACCTTCCACACAGGGTTTTAAGTGTGTCCTCATTTTCAGCCATGTCCAAAAGCTATTGGACACCTTCTTTTTACCGATTGCTTTTGGTGACCACATTCAAGGTGTCTCTCTGTACGTTGGCCTCACTCTGAACTTCAAGAACAGTAACACGTAGCCAGATCAGAATGACTGGATAGCACTCTGCCATCTGGCTGGTTGATACCTAGTAGATACCAAGCATGCTCCATGGGTCAGGGGTTGGAGGAAACAGTTTGGCATAGCTAGCACACAGCATCAGAAAGTGGTAGCATTCAAAATGTGATGCTCAACTGGTTGGGTTCTCCCATTTGATTCCAACGAGAAGCCCATATAAGGAGGAGGAAGAAGGAGATATGTTCTGAAACAACCAGAATGACAGGAAATATTCCAACAGTTAAAGTGCTTCACAACCTTTCTCCATAGCCCAAAGCAGAAGTTTGGGAGCCTTTGTTACAGCCCTACTATAGGAGTAAGTTATTGTAATCCAACAAGCACTTAGGAATATTCTGATGAAGGAGATGTGGTGAGGGACCAGGAAGTGGCTTTTTAGCCCACAACAAGCACAGTAGGAAATATGAGGAACCAACCGGTCCTTTGTGCACCTTCAGTGTGTGACTAAGATTTCATAAAACTGGCCTGTGGAGAAAGCATATTCCAAGCCCCCCATGCTGATGTAACAATTCTTGTTTTGCAGTAGTTCAGCATTCTGTTGATGATACATAATTCAGATTTCCCTTCAGGGATGGAGAAACGTAAGCAGGTGTGAGTCTGAAACCTGAGGATAAATTGCTTTGTGCAAAGATGGGTTTATTATTCAGAAGGAGCACACGGAAATGGCAAATGTAGGAACAAGTTGGTCATTGCATTTCTTCTACTAAACCACCTGGACAATTCAGGTTACTCAGATAAAAAATGTGGTCCTTCTCCATGTTCAGAACAAACCTGGAGGAGCAGCTTGGCCAGCAGGCTCCTGACCTTCTTGCTTCCATACACAGGGAATTTAGAAACAATAAAATGATTCCCATTATCAGTTAACTCCCAAACCCAGGGAGGTCTTTGTTAATATACCCACAGTTTTCATCACTGAAATGCTTTTATATCCCACCTTTCTGTGCAAGACAGCTCTCAGAAAGTATGACAAAAATAATTTAAATAAGCAGGACAGAGATGATCAACCAAGAAGGGGAAATGTGGAGACTCCCGAGTGTGAGAGAGAGAACAAAAATGGGAAAAACCCAACCAACAACCCTGTGTTGACTAGGCGGAAAAATATCAGCAGAGGGGTGAGCCAAACATCTCTTGGGCAGGATGTTTATTCATAAAAGGCCTGTTCCAAATACCTGTCAATGATAGCTATGGAGCAGGGAGTATAGTCAATGGGTGGGCAGGATCAGACCATATAATGGTCCTCTAAAGATCCTGGTTGCAAGCTGTTGGTGGCTTTACAGGTGATAGCCAGCACTTTGCACTGGGCTTAGGAAAGGGTGGAGAGATGAAGGAACTGTGCAGAATGATCCTAGACTTTCTATTCAGAAGTAAGTCCCATTGAATTCAATGGCACTCACTTGCAGGGAAGTGTGAAGAGGACTGAAGCCTCAGGCCAAAGCAAATATTGAGTTACTTCTCTATGGAGCAGCTTTCTTCTAAGTGGACAGGGGCTGAAACACTGGTATGAAGGGTAGAGGGACTTGCAAACAGCCCTTCCACACCTACTGGCACAAACTGCTCAATGGGATATAGAGCTATATCTGTTTTTGCTCCTTAAACCCATGCTTACACACCTGCTTTCCAAAATGACACTCCCCCAAGAGGGCTTCACTGCACACTTTTTCAGAAGGCATTACGCTTCCACATTTTGCA